TGGTAAAAATGTAGACAGATTCCTACAGACCTAAATGGCTTAACATTTTTTATTCTGCTCTCCAGGAGAAAAAATGGTTATATAAGGTACCTGCCTCTATTTCTCTCCTGTTTCATCTTTCCTTCCTTTCTGGTATGCTTTAGGACCTGTTTTTTGTTTTTGAAGTTTAAAGATTTGGCATACTGGTGTCTGGTGGTCTTGCTTAGAGTCTCCTGTCCTGAGGAGACCTTCTGTGGGCTTTCTGCAAATCCATAGTGATGTCTTGATGATCTTGGGAACACACTTCTTTTATTTTCCAGACTATGGGTCCATGTTGCTGGCTTTTGAAGTGTGAGACTTCTAATTCTCTTCGAGGTGGAACCTTTGTTTTCTTTAGGTCTCACATCACCATTAACTTTTAAAATTAGTGGTGGTCTGGTCTAGATGCATCTTTGCCACATCACCTCTTGTCCTGTTTGACTGTAATCTTATAGTGCACCAGGAACAGAATGTTCTTGATTTCTTCTTTCCTTCCTTCCCCTCGCTTCCCCCCTCTTGGCTTGGATCATTATTTTTAAAATTTATTTTCTTTGCTTCAGATGATAGTAATTGTTTTGAGGGGCTTAGTTAGGACAGGCATTGTATATCGCTATCTTTTTTTTAAGATTTTTTTTTTTTTTTTTGTGAGAGAGCAGGGAAAGGGCAAGAGAGAGTGAGAATCTTAAGCAGACTTTGCTGAGCACAGAGCCCTAAGTGGGGCTTGATCTCATGACCTGAGATCAGGACCTGAGCCGAGATCAAGAGTTGGGCGCTCAACTGACTGTGCCACCTACGTACCCGTTTTATTTTTCCTGGGTGCAAAAAAAGTTGGTTTTATTAAAGCACAAGGACAGGACCTGTGGGCAGAAAGAGCTGCTCATTATTTTTAAAATGCATTCCTGCCCGTGAAGTCAGATAAGGCCTGTGGGGGATGAAATCACTCTGATGGCTTTGAGGCTGACAAACAGATTGGGGAAGAAACAGGACGTTCTGGGTAAGGTGGACTTTGTTTTCTGTGCACATTTCAGCCTATTTAGCACAGATAAGTACGAGTACTCCAGAATCAGTGGTGTGATCAGTCAGTATAATTGATAATGTTCTTAAATTTTGGACAGCTGTTGAATTAATGTGTGTATGTTGTGGCTTTTATTTTTTAATGGAGGCTCTGTAGGTAGGCGAAAGAAACAGTGTGATACAGGCATAATTGCTTTCTGCATTTGCTTTTTTTTAAAAAAAGACCTTATTTAATTATTTGAGAGAAAGAAAGACAGGACAGGAGTGGGTGTAGGGGCAGAGGGAGAGGGAGAAGCAGGCTCCCTGCTGGGTGCAGAGCCTGAATCAGGGCCTGATCCCAGGATCCTGAGGTCATGACCTGAGCTAAAGTCAGACGCTTAACTGACTGAGCCACCCAGGCGCCCCTACATTTTTTTACAAATATTTATTTATTTATTTTAAAGAGTGGGTAAGGAGAGAGAGCAAGCAAGAGGAGGAACAGAGGAAGAGGGAGAGAGAGAGACTCAAGTAGTCTCCTTGCAGAGCCCCGAGCCTGATGCTGGGCTCAATCTCACAACCCTGAGGTCATGATCTGAAGTGAAATCAAGAGTCAGACACTTAACCTACTGAGCCACCCAGGCGCCCCTAAAAACATACTCTATTTTTTTTTTTTTTACATACTGTATTTTTAATGGCTTTTCCATCAAGCAACTGAGACCTTCCCCTCTCTAAGTTCTATTACATTTATCATAACGTACCTTTGAACTGGACAGTCTTATGCAATTTTTCAATGGAAGGATGGAGGTCTAGAGTTCACACAGCTTTTCAGAATTAGGTATAAAACCTCTTGACTCTCTCAGAGACCCTTTCTATAGGGCAGGCTGCTGACCTACAATATGTAATTTGGTTTTGGTGCAATGAGAATCAGTCTCTATTTGTTCAGGCAAGACCTGGAGGGTAATGAGATTTTGTCGAATGTTTTTGCAGACTCTTAACCTCTGTGGTATAGTACCTTGTTTCCTTTTACTCAGAATTTCTGCATGTTCTCTCTGTGGCAGTGACAGCAAGCAGTGTAATGGTCAGAAACACTGCACTCTTCGCCTTCTTGCTGCTGTCTTGCTCTCGGTGCAAGTCTTGAATCACCATGGACCTCCTCACCCTGGTGAAATTTGGAAGTTTTTGGGTTCATCAGCCAAGAAGGAATTCTTGAGATGTCTTTGGTGCAGAAAGGTGGTTTTATTGAAGCCCAAGGACAGGACCTGTGGGCAGGAAAAGCTGCCCTGGGAGTGCGAGGAGTGACTGATTATGTACTTTTCCATTAGTAGGAGTGAGGGAGAGCATAAGTCTCCAAGGACTCTGGAAGGGAGGCTCTCAGGACCCCAAGAGGCTAGCTGCTGCCAAGATAAGGTTCCCTTTAAACATGAGGATACTAAGGCTGCCCCAAGTTCCCCAAGGAAGGTCATGGCCTGTGTGTCTCAGGATCTATCAGTGGGCTGCACGTTGTGAGGAGATTTAATTTAAGCTACATCTCTCTTGCCTTTGTTTCCCTCATCCACCCTGTTAGAGGGATCTCTTGGTTTGTCCATGTCCCAGGAAGCCCTGCTCACAGGTGCCTGGGGGAGCTATCGTCTCTCAACGGAGTTCTTGGGGCTTCCCCTTTGTTCTGAAGCGGGTAAGAGAGTCACTGTCCTGGGTCTCCTGATTGGGTGCCTGTGCTGAGCCTCCATTGCAAGCCAGATCTCTCCCCTGAGTGTGTGCAGAACAGGTGATGCCCTTGCACCTTACTTATGTCCTTTTCATGTCCTCTTAGTAGACAGAGCAGCAGGATTTCCCTTCTGGGGTCCCACATCATTTGTCCAGTGTGGCTCAGCCTGTGAGATCTTTGTTGTACCCTAGACGAATGCTTTGGGACACAAAGTTATTGGAGCTATTTGGCCCTGGGGTTCCTGTGCTTTGTGAGAAGAAGGAGTAGAAACAGTGGTTGGGCTTTTCTTGGGACATATTCACCCAGTTTCATGAGTGAGCATCTGCTTAGAATTAAATGATGAGAAGAGGAGATTCTGTAACAGTGGTGACTTCTCTAATCTCTGTTCTTTTATTTCCTCTTTACTTCTATTGTCAGAATTTGCTTTAGAGATTTTAGTGTTTATGAGACACTCATAATATGAAATATGTCCCTTTTTAGATTTTTGCCTCACTATAACTCTTCTCTATTTCCTTGCTTTTTTTGGTACTGAAATAGTTTGAGCTGTATTTGCTGTTCTTTACTCCTCAAGCCTTAAAGAAAAAGCCCATGAAATATTTCAAACATGCAGAAAATGTAGAGAATAGTGCAGTAACAGTGGAACACTCGCGTACCCTCCACTGGGATTTACACAAAGTGTTTGCGTTTCATTTGTTTTTTCCCTCAGATTTTTAAAGAACTTATTTATTCACAGTTCATTGATTCATTCAAAATGATGTGTTGATGGATGTGTTGATTATTTGCATATCTTCGCTATTGTGAACAGTTACCGTGGATATTTCCTGTGCTCCTTTCCTTGTGTGAGAGTTTTTCTTGCCATAGATATTTTGAAAATAAATTTCTGGATGATTGATAAGCAGAAACTATATGTGATAAGCACGTTTGTGATAATGTTGACAGTGAAATGTTGCAGCCATTTTTAATAACATACGTGAAGTAGGGAAGAATCCTTTTTGTGACAGCCATTTTGATAGAAAAATGTTAACTCCTGCTGCCCTGCGTCTTTGGATTCATACTATGTAGCATTTTTATTTCAAAATGGATCTTTGTATGACCGTAAGAAAACTGTTGGAATATTGGAATTAGTAGCAATAAGTGCTTTCACGTGGTAACTTAAGAAAATAACCATTACAGGGGATCCCTGGGTGGCGCAGCGGTTTAGCCCCTCCCTGCCTTTGGCTCAGGCCGCCATCCTGGAGACCCGGGATCAAATCCCACGTCGGGCTTCTGGTGCATGGAGCCTGCTTCTCCCTCTGCCTATGTCTCTGCCTCTCTCTCTCTCTCTCTCTCTCTCTCTCTCTCTCTCTGTGTGACTATCGTAAATAAATAAAAAAAAATTAAAAAAAATAACCATTACATGTTTTCCTTATTTTTCTCTGATATTATTATTATTATTATTATTTTAAGATTTATTTATTCATGAGACAGAGAGAGGGAGAGAGGCCAAGACACAGGCAGAGGGAGAAGCAGGCTCCATGCAGGGAGCCTGACCTGGGACTCGATCCCGGGTCTCCAGGATCACACCCTAGGCTGAAGGCGGCGCTAAACCGCTGCGCCACCAGGGCTGCCCTGATATTATGTATTTCTGCCCAAGGGTAATCAGCCAAACCTGTATTCATTATTCTTTGTGTCTTACTAATCTCTAAGCAGTTTTATTTTTTTTTAAAGCTTTTTATGTAACATTTTAAATATATGTAAAAGTAGAGAAAACAGCACTGTGGACTCTCAGCATATGCATTACTTAGGTTCCACACAGCTGATTTGCTTTTGAATGCGATTTTTAACTGTGATGCAGACATTAGTTTTATATTTAGAGCATACCATATTCTGCGTAACACAAGGTATTAACACTCATTTGGAGAATTATTTCTGTATTCTTATGAGGTAAGTGGTAATTATCGAGAAGGGTTATTATTAGTTTCAACAGAGTTTTGCTGACCTGTGGGTGGATTGCAGAGTTTCTTCTCTCCATTAGTTGATCAGGCTAATGTCTTAAAGAGTCAGTCTTCTCTCCAACAGGGAGACTGTCCATAGATTTTGTAAAAATGTGACCTAAATCCTTCAGAATGCTTTGGTAAAAGTAGTTAAGAACATACTCCAAACATTTAGAGGACCATTTTAAAAATGAAGTATAGGGACCAGCTAATAATATCCTCTGGTACTGCAACATTTATGGCTCGATAGACCCAGAGACTATAACTGTTTAAGCTGCACCTCATGGGTTTCTTGTATGCTTGGATTTCAGATAGCGGTGGTCATGGGCTCCTGTACAGCCGGTGGTGCTTATGTTCCTGCAATGGCTGATGAAAACATCATTGTACGCAAGCAGGGTACCATTTTCTTGGCAGGACCCCCGTTGGTAAGAACATGGTCTTGATTGAGTGAGTGAATGAGTGAAGTTAAATATACATAATATAAAATTTACCCTTCTAACCATTTTTTAAGCCATTGTTTTAAAAAATAAAACATTGTTTTCAAAGATTTATTTATTTTTTATTTTTAAAGATTTTATTTATTTATTCATGAAAAACACAGAGAGGAGAGAGAGAGAGGCAGAGACACAGGCAGAGGGAGAAGCAGGCTCCATGCAGGGAGCCCGATGTGGGACTCGATTCCGGGTCTCCAGGATCACACCCTGGGCTGAAGGTGGCACTAAACCGCTGAACCACCCGGGCTGCCCTATTTTTTTAGAGAGAGAGAGAACACAACCAGGGTGTGGCAAGGCAGAGATCCTCAAACATACTCCTCACTGAGTGCAGAGTCTGACATGAGGCTTGATCTCACAACCCTGAGATCATGACCTGAGTGGAAACCAAGAGTTGGATGCTTAACCGACTGAGCCACCCACACATCCCTATTCTTTTTATTTTTTTTTTTAAGATTTTATTTATTTACTTACTTATTTACTCATGAGAGACACACACACACACAGAGAGAGACAGGTACAGGCAGAGGGAGAGGGAGAAGCAGGCTGCCTGCAGGGAGCCCAACACGGGACTCGATCCTGGGTCTTCAGGATCAGGCCCTGGGCTGAAGGTGGCACTAAACTGCTGAGCCACCTGGGCTGCCCCCACACATCCCCATTCTAACCATTTTTAAGTGCACAGTTCTGTGGCACTAGTATATTCACATTATTGTGCAACCATCACCACCATCCATCTCCAGAACTTTCTCATATACTCCATCTGAAAATCTGTGCACATTAAACATTAACTCCCGGGATGCCTGGGTGGCTCAGCGGTTAAGTGCCTGCCTCTCGCTTTTAAAGATTTTTAAATAAAATCTTATAAAAAAACAAAAAACATTAACTCCCTATTCTCTCCAATCTCCACTGCTCCTGGCTACTATAATTCTCTTTTTTCTATGAATTTGATTACTGTTAGGTACATTGTATAAGTGGAATCATACAATATCTATCCTTTGTGATTGGCATATTTTACTCAGGATAATGTCTTCAAGATTTACCATGTTGCTGCATACATGAGAACTTCCTTTTAAGGCTGAATAATATTCCATTGCATGTATATACAACATTTTGTTTATTAACTCATCCATGAGTGGACTTTTGAGTTGCTTCCAATTTGGGGCTATTATGAATAATGCTGTATGAGTGTTCAAATATATCTAAGTCCCTGCTTTCATTTTTTTGGGTATATGCTCAGAAGTGGAATTGCTGGATTGTGTTTAATTAATTATGTGTTTTAACTTTTTGAGAAGCCACTCATTTCATTTTATTGCTGAATAATATTTTATTGTATGGATAGGCAGCATTTTGTTTATCCATTTATCATTGATAAATCATTGGGGTTGTTTCCAATGTTTGGATATTATGAATAACGCTGCTATGCATAATTCATATCCAAGTTTAAGTGGGTATGTTTTCCTTTATAATGTTTATATACTAGTGTGTACGATTGCTAGGTCACATGGTTTTTTAATATTTTATTTATTTATTCATGAAAGAGAGAGACAGAGACGCAGGCAGAAGGAGAAGCAGGCTCCCTGCAGGGAGCCCTGATGGTGACTCAATCCCAGGACTCTGGGATCATGCCCTGAGCCAAAGGCAGACGCTCAACTGCTGAGCTACCCAGGTGTCCCTCATTTAGGTTTTGATTTGCATTTCCCTAATGTCTAATGATGTTGAGCCTCTTTCACGTGCTTGTTGGTTGTTTGTAGATCTTCTTTGGAAAGATATCTATTCAGCTCCTTTGCCCACTTTTTTTAAAAAATATTTTTATTTATTCATGAGAGACACAGAGAGGCAGAGACACAGGCAGAGACAGAAGCAGGCTCCCTGCGGGGAGCCTAATGTGGGACTTGATCCCAGGACCCTGGGATCATGCCCTGAGCCAAAGGCAGACACTCAATCACTGAGCCACCCAGGCATCCCCTTTGCCCACATTTTAAATTGGGCTATTTGTTGAATTGTGAGAATTCTTTATATGTTCTGGATACAAATATTTTCTTTCTGAGAATTATCTTCACTTTCTTAGCGGTATCTTCCTTTGAAGCATGAAAATGTTTAATTTTGATAAAGTTCAATTTATGCATTTTTTTTCTTTGCTGTGCTTTTGGTGTAATATCTGTGAAAGCTTTGCCTGTTGCAAGATCATGAAGATTTAATACTTTGGTTTCTTCTAAGTTTTAGCTCTTACTTTTAGGTTCATAATCCATTTTTAGTTAGTTTGGCTAGGTTTAAGGAAGGAATCCACCATTGTTCGGTATGTTGATATGTAGTTGGCCCAGTATCATTTGTTGAATGGCTAATGAAATAAACTTTTACTTTTTCTTCTACCTCAGTTGTGCTTTTGTTTGACTCAGGGTCACTAGAAGTTGGTAAACAAGGTGCTTGCACATACTATGTCAACTTTTGTATAAAACAGGGCAGATTATACATTTGTAAGCTTGTATATGCATAAAGAAACTCTGGAAAAGATACAATAAACATAGTTTTAATGCAGAGGAGTTGAAACAGGGCAGGAGAGAGACCTTTGCCTTTTTGTGTGTGCACTGAACATAAACATTTTGAGACCTTTGACTTTCTGAGTCTTGTGAAAACATTACCTTTTCAAAAAGGTTAAGTTAAAAAAAAGAAGGAACAAGTTAGAATAGCTATGAGAAGTGCTCCAAATTTCTGATCCTAGTAATCTTTATGAATCACTGGTAGGGCAAGCTACATAATTTGCAGACCGTAGTGCAAAATGAAGGTCCAGGACCCCTTGTTCAAAAAGGAGGAAAAAGGGGACGCCTGGGTTGCTCAGCAGTTGAGCATCAGCCTTCGGCCCAGGGCGTGATCCTGGAGACCCAGGATCAAGTCCCACATCGGGCTCCCTGCATGGAGCGTGCTTCTCCCTCTGCCTATGACTCTGCCTGCCTCTCTCTCTCTGTATCTCTCATGAATAAATAAATAAAATCTTTAAAAATAAAAAAAATAAAAATAAAATTTAAAAAAAGGAGGAAAAAGTACCTGTTAAAGGTACTAAAATATAAAACATTTTCCTTCTTTGGTACCTTTACCTGTCTTGATGTTTTTTATTTGCTATTTAAGTACATGCTCCTTCAAGCATAGACTACTCCCCTTCTCAGGCATCTGTGCTTTCAGTGGGTCCACCGTTCAACTCCTGGTGGACATGTGACCCCCCCCAAGGATATGCAGCCTCCATATTGGGTTGTGCTTGATATCCAGATGGGCAAGGGACGAAACGCTGTCCCTTAGCTCCCACCCATACCTCCACTGAGTCACATGCTGGAGAATACACCTCAGCACCACCAGCCCAGGAAAGGGATGCTGCTGCTGTGCCCCACCGTGAGACACCAGGGAGTGCACACCTGATCCTGATCTTCCCTTTGCCCATACCAGGCCCCATGGGGGATAGGTGTAATAGTCACAAGACAGGGATGGGGAGGAGCAAATAGGACAGAGCCCTGGACCTAGGCACCAGATGGCAGGGAAGCAGGGGGCCAAGAACCTTTTACAGAAAGATGATGGGAGGCAGACGAGTAAGAGCCAAGGCTCTGAACCCCAACACAGACTCCCCATTGTGCCATCAGACTTCATTTACAAAACACATATTTAAAGATAAGATTAGGATTTCAGTAGGGTAACCACTGACCATTAAACGCCAAGCACAGAGCCCTTCTGAGAGTGAGATCCTGCAGCCTTACTGGTGAGCTGCCTGTGTTGCAGGACTGAGGAGTAGATTATGTAATCTTGGGCTCTTCCCCATCTTCTCTTTGGTCAGCTCCATGCTGGTGATGTTCAGTAATGCTGTCTTTGCTATGCTTGTGTCACTTCAGTTGGATAAAGAGAGGGTAGATGAAGCCACACGTAATTACTTCATCATACAACAAAATGCCCCATTATTTAAGTGAAATCTAAGAATATTATATAGGTAAGAAGAATGTCAAGGGTATTATAAAACCATAATATCCACACAATGGAATATGATTCAGCCATAAGAAAAAAATGAAGTTCTGACACCTGCTACAACATAGATGAACCTTGAAAACATTATGTGAGACACAAAAGGAAAAAATATTGTAAAATTCCACTTCCATGATATATATAGAATAAGCAAACTCATATAGACTGCAAGTAGGTAAGTGGTTGCCAGGGACCAAGAGGAGGGTAGAATGGAGAGTGACTCTAGTGAGTACGGGCTTTCTTTTGGGAATGAGGAAACTTCTGGAATTAGGTGGAGTTGGTGGTTCCACAACCGTGTGAATATACAAAAAAACCCCCACTGAATTGTATTCTTCAAATGTGAATTTTATGGTACATGAATTCTGTCTCAGGAAGTAAGCTTATTGCTTCAGAAGTCTGACAAAAAAGTCACCTTTGGTTTTGGAATAGTAACACAAATGTATTAAAAAGTACGTTAAAAAGAGCTTGTGCCTGCTTTGATGTGAAGTATGTGTATTTTCCAAATGATTATGTTCATTTTAAATTTTACTGAGGATCAGGTAAGTTTGAAGAGCTGCCATTTTATTTATTTATATTTATTTATATATATATTTTTTATAAATTTATTTTTTATTGGTGTTCAATTTGCCAACATATAGAATAACACCCAGTGCTCATCCCATCAAGTGCCCCCCTCAGTGCCCGTCACCCAGTCACCCCCACCCTCCGCCCACCTCCCCTTCCACCACCCCTAGTTCGTTTCCCACAGTTAGGAGTCTCTCATGTTCTGTCTCCCTTTCTGATATTTCCCACTCATTTTTTCTCCTTTCCCCTTTATTCCCTTTCACTATTTTTTATATTCCCCAAATGAATGAGACCATATAATGTTTGTCCTTCTCCGATTGACTTATTTCACTCAGCATAATACCCTCCAGTTCCATCCACGTCGAAGCAAATGGTGGGTATTTGTCATTTCTATTTATTTATTTTTAAAGATTTTATTTATTTATCCATCAGAGATACACAGACAGAGCCAGAGACACAGGCAGAGGGAGAAGCAGGCTCCATGCAGGGAGCCCGAGTGGGACTCAATCCCAGGACTCCAGGATCAGGCCCTGAGCCAAAGGCAGATGCTCAACCACTGAGCCACCCAGGTGTCCCCAAGAGCTGCTATTTTAAATGTGATAAGAGTTTCAAGGCATTATTCAAAAGGCCTGTGGTATCAGTTATTCTTTGATATTTTTCTAGCTATGAGTGATACTTATCATTGGTTAATGGTAGGAGAATTCATTTGGAATTTACCTTTGTCTAGTGAAGGGTACAAACCTTTAGTAGTTTTTAGGTGTTTTTTTCTTAAGGAATGAGTAAAGATACGACTAAAAATTGAACACGCCTTTTTGGGACTGTGCGTAGCATCATAATACTGAATTAACACTAGCGGTTTTCAAGAGAAGAGTTTGTGGAAAGGGTGCACTTGCAGCCTAAGCAGGCTCCATGCAGTTTGGTCAGTGGTTGCAAATTTACCTTAGCAAGGAGCAGTTTAGCAGCCAAAGTCGGCAGTCTTCCTAGACAACTGAAATCTGTTGTGTAGCCTACACTGAAAGACCATGTTTACAGGTTAAAAAAAAAAAAAAAGGAAGCAGCGGCAGAAATCTCATCTATCTGCTTGAGGCTTCTAAATTTTGACACTTGTTTTACTGAAAATTGCAAAAGATCCCATGCATAACGTCTGGTTGAGTTGTTATAGCTTTTTGTTGCTTAAAGTGGTTGGAAAAATGCATACCGATAAGACAAGCTTTTTTTTTTTTTTTTTTTTTTTTTAAGATAGGCTTTTGAAGAAGCTTTTTGTTCCTGTGTCTTCTGAACTTGTTTTGATATTTATCATCTTTGCACCTGTCACAGTATCAAGCATGTTGTGGGTGGTCAGTAAATATAAACCAATGACAAATCCTTATTTTATCAGTTGATATTAGTCAGAGCCTTAGAAATAAACACAGTCTAAAAAAATACATAAATAAATAAACACAGTCTATTGGTGGCTTATTCCTTTATACAACTTTAAATATCCAGACACCTCTTATAATTATTGTCTGGGCTGAAGGCTATTTTACACTGAATATTTTGGGAGGAAGAGAACCAAGAATTCAGTTCTGTGGGTGGAATAATTGGAGGTGAAAATTTTAATTGTTTCTCTGTGCGATAATATTTTGTTTAAGACAGAGCTTTTTTTTTTTAAAAGATTTTATTTATTCATGAGAGACACACACACACACACAGAGAGAGGCAGAGACAGAGGCAGAGGGAGAAGCAGGCTCCATGCAGGGAGCCCGACGTGGGACTCGATCCCGGGTCTCCAGGATCAGGCCCTGGGCCGAAGGCAGTGCTAAACCGCTGAGCCACCCGGGTTGCCCAAGACAGAGCTTTTGATGTAGTGAATAATAAGTCCTTTCTGTGCTGCAATTTAGATAAATGTTCATTGTTCCAAAAGCTTTTCCTATTTGAAGAATAAGAAATCAATCAACCCAAAGAAGTAGGAATCAGTAAGCAACTCCTAAGGGGTCAGGTTGGCATTTGTCACTAAATGGTTTTTCTTTCTTTTCTGTTAGAATTTCTCAGGCTCTGATGAAGTCATTCTTAATATAGTACTTGAGGTCTTTCATTTTGATCATTTTCTGCTGAATCATTTTTTATTTTTAAAATTTTATTTAAATTCGATTAATTAACATATAGTATATTATTAGTTTCAGAGGTAGAGGTCAGTGATTCATCAGTCTTGTATCACACCAGTGCTCATTATAGCATATCACCCAGACACCCCATCCCCACATGCACCTCCTCTCCAGCAACCCTCAGTTTGTTTCCTATGATCAAGAGTCTCTTCTGGGGCAGCCTGGGTGGCTCAGTGGTTTGGCTCCACCTTCAGCCCAGGGCATGATCCTAGAGACCTAGGATCGAGTCCCGCATCGGGCTCCCTGCGTGGAGCCTGCTTGTCCCTCTGCCTGTGTTTCTGCCTCTCTCTCTCTCTCTCTCTCTCTCTCTCTCTCTCTCTCTCTGTTTCTCTCGTGAATGGATAAATAAAATCTTAAAAAAAAAGTCTCTTCTGGTTTGTCTCCCTCTCTGATTTCATCGTGTTTTATTTTTTCCTCTCTTCCTTTATGATCCTCTGTTTCTTAAACTCCACATATGAGTTAGATCATATGATGATTATCTTTCTCTGATTGACTTATTTTGCTTTGCATAATCCCTTTTAGTTCCATCCATGTCTTTGCAAATGGCAAGATTTCATTTTTTTGATGGCTGAGTAGTAGTCCATTGCATATACACACAGACACACCACACTACACCACATCTTTATCTGTTCATCTGTCGATGGACATCTGGGCTCTTACCCTAATTTGGCTGTTGGGACATTGCTGCTATAAACATTGGGGTGCAATTGCCCTTCAGATCACTACATTTGTATCTTTGGGGTAAATAACCAGTAGTGCAATTGCTGGATCATAGGGTAGCTCTGTTTTTCAGAGTGGCTGCAGCAGCTTACATTCCCACCAACAGTATAATAGGGTTTCCCTTTCTCCACATCCTCACCAACATCTGTCATTTCCTGACTTGTTACTTTTTCTGCTGAATCTTAGATGTGGGTAATCTTAGAGATTTTTTGGCATCTTAAAGGTATTGCACTTTTAAGAGTTTGTGATAGTTACTGCAGTTTTTCCGGATGGTCCAAAAAAGGCATTAATTCATTAAAGGTACTGAACTTTTAGAGACGAATACAACACAGTTCCTGCCATCAAGGTATTCACAGTAGAAAGGAGCCAACAGAGGCACATGCAGATTACTGACATGCACAGTCTGCAGATGCCCTGTTGGAGACACATAAGGAGTATTCTTGGACCACAGATGAGCAAGCATTGTTCTCTTATTGCTCTGGAGTGTCATTAATGATGAAAAGTCCTGCAAAGGTCAGGAAAGGTCACATGGATTCCCCAGGTGAGTGACAGGGAGCAGGGAGCGCAGGCAGTGGGAAGAGCATATGCATAGCACAAAAGCTTTAACATGCATAAGGTAGGAGAAGGAGAGCAGGCGTTTTAGCCTGGAAATACCCCGATTCACTTCAGGTTCCATTGTTGCTCTGGAGCTGTGGGGAAGTTCCTTAGGCTGGCTTCAGATTTTTCATCTGTAGAGTAGAGACAGTTTTTTCTAGGTTTGCTGAGTAGTAGGTGGAATAAGAAAACAAAATCTGGGGGTGCCTGGGTGGCTCAGCTGGTTAAGTGTCCTGTCCACCTCTTGATCTCAGCTCAGGTCTTGATCTCAGGGTCTTGAGTCTGATCCCTGCACTGGGCTCCATGCTGGATGTGGAGCCTACTTAAAAACTTTTTTTTTAAATGTAAAAAAAGAGAAAGAAAATAAAACCTTTAGCTCTGTGGAAGAGGGAGTGGTAATAAGCAAAGGCAGGTTAGAAGCCGTGCATGGTAGGTAAGCATTTTTATGTCTCAGTTGGGCACAACTCACCATGGACTTTTATCCTTGCTGTAGGTGAAAGCCGCAACCAAGGAAGAAGTGTCAGCTGAAGATCTTGGAGGTGCCGATCTGCATTGCAGGTGAGACTGAAGCACTTGTTTCTTTCAAGGATTCATTGCCATCTCTTTGTTGAAGAGAGAGTTTGGTTATTTTTTCTAAAAATTAAACTTGCCAGATCCAACCGCAGTTTATCTGTTCTTGAGCTATTGTTAGGGTTCAGTTCTTTGAATTGTAGAGTTGCATTTCTAAGCTAGAACATCAGCTTTTACATTATAGCCTAAAAAGACTGGAGAGACAGGTATCTCATTTCTTTTTTTTTTTTTTAAGATTTTATTTATTTATTTATGAGACACCCAAAGAGAGAGGGAGATACATAGGCAGAGGGAGAAGCAGACTCCCTGAGGGGAACCCGATGTGGGACTCGATCCCAGACCAGGATCACGCCCTGAGCCAAAGGCAGACACTCAACCGCTAAGCTGCCCAAGCGTCCCACATTTCTCATTTCTTTAACAAATACCCATCAAGCACCTGTTATGTGGCAGACACTGTTCTAGATGTTCAAGGTTATACGATAGACATTGTCTTTGACCTCAGGGAGCTTATTAACTTGCTAGTCAGGGAGGTGGCTGATAAATAATTACCAAAAAATGATAAATGATATGTGTACATGTGTTAAGGCCTGTAAAGAAGTATAGGGAAAGCATATAGAAGGTCGATCCAGGGGATCCCTGGGTGGTTCAGTGGTTTAGCCGCTGCCTTTGGCCCAGGGTGTGATCCTGGAGACCTGGGATCGAGTCCCACTTGGGCTCCCTGCATGGAGCCTGCTTCTCCCTCTGCCTGTGTTTCTGCCTCTCTCTCTCCCTCTGAATGTCTCTGATAAATAAATAAAATCTTAAAAAAAAAAAAAAAAAGAAGGCTGATCCAGCCCACTGGTGTGCAGGTCTTATGACTTTGGTTTTTGGGGTTTTTTAAAAGATTTTATTTTATTTTTAGAGAGCACAAGTAAGGAGGGACAGCAGGAGAGGGAGAGAGAGTGAATCACAAGCAGGCTTCATGGTTAGCATGGAGCTTGATGTGAGGCTCAGTCTCATGACCCTGAGATCATGACCTGAGCCGAAATCAGGAGTTGGATGCTCAATTGACTGAGCCACCCAGGCACCCTGTGGCATTGTTAAATTAATATTTGTTAAGTGGAGCACAGAGTGCTGGATGGTGAGCAACAACAGACCACAGGAGAAATTGAAATGGACAAGTTTATTACTCACAGAACCTGGAGGAAGTCCACAGCATGCCTCGAGGGGCTACGCTGGGAGCTCAAGGCAGAGTACAGACAGAGGCAGAACATGCGCACATTTTTCTTCTTTGGGTCTGTTGTTGGAGCGGAGTGCCTGGGGGTTCCCAGGCCAAGGCTAGTTTAGAGTTAAAAGATTGATATTTTGTTTGGTTCCCCATGGGTCTTATGCGCATAAGGCATACAGGGAAGAGCTGGGAGGCAGAGGAGACTTGCTCACAAGGGTTGTTCGGGAAGTCACATGAGGACTTGGATGTGTTGGGAATCTGTGGCTGCTCTCTAGCACATATGCTTACACAAGTGGGCTGTAGGCAGTTGAAGGTGCCTGCAGTCCGCTCAGCCAAACAACAGATGCTGAGGCAGCTGCACCATGGAGCGGCTTAGCTAAAGGCTCAACATCAGGTAAATGCAGAAAAGCTGGTTCTCTGGGGAAGGAAAAAGTCCTGCTTTGTGGCATCTGCCAATGCCTGTGGTGTAAATGATCCCACCAAGGCTGATTTCAAGGCCGCAGCAGGACACCACTGAGTGTGGAATCAGGAGGTGCACACAGTTGGCTCTCATGAGTCAGTCCTGAGCTGGCTCCATCGTGTCCCTGGCCCATTCGTTTGAGGTTAGTGTTCAGGGGGTACAAAGACCTAGAGTTCTGTGAGGATTAAATGAGATGATAGGTGTAAATTGCTTGAAACAATACCTGCTATAAATAAGTACCTATAAATCTTAACTGCCATTATTTTTATTGTTGTTTATCATAACTGGTCATTAAAGAGTGGACTTATTTTTTAATATAAATTTATTTTTTATTGGTGTTCAATTTGCCAACATATAGAATAACACCCAGTGCTCATCCCATCAAGTGCCCCCCTCAGTGCCTGTCACCCAGCCACTCCCACCCCCTGCCCACCTCCCTTTCTACCACCCCTAGTTCGTTTCCCAGAGTTAGGAATCTCTCATGTTCTGTCTCCCTTTCTGATATTTCCCAAGAATGGACTTATTTTTTTTAAGAGCAATTAGGAAACCATTGAAGAGTTTTAAGGAGAGATGTGCCATTATCAAATATTTCACTAGAAAGTCACTCTGACTGTTAAACAGAACATTTAGGGAGTTGGCATGAGTCTGCCTGAGGGACCAGTCAAGGAGTTTTATCAGTGGCAATAGGTGAGAGATGCTGGTGGCTTAGATGGTTCTGGTGGTAGTGCACGTATGGGAAGTGATCAGTTTTGAGCTCTGTTTTAGAGATAGGTTTGAAGGACTTGTTGGTGGATTTCATACAAGGGCTGTAGGAAAGTGAGGTGACAAAGATGATGACTAGAAAAGATTTCATTTCCTGAGATTGGGAGGATGGGAGGAGGAGGAGATCTGGGAATGGGGTGGGGGGATCAGGTGTTTCTTTTGGACCTGATATGTTTGAGGTGCTTGAGACATCCAAGTAGGCATGCTGGCTGAGTGGGCAGTTAATTGACGAGTCTGCAGCCAAAGTCAGTGCTGGATATCTTTATTTGGGAATCGTCAGCATAGAAGTAGAATTTGAACCTATGGGGGAATAGATGATTCATCTAGCTCACCTCAAGCTGAGTGTAGATAAAGAAGAGAGCCTTGGACCGTCCCTGAAGAAGCCAGGCATACCTGGCAAGGAGATCTAATCATTGAGCTCTGTGGCCTGCAGGTGCATAAACCTCTCTTTGTGCTGCCAGACCTCAAACCCAGGGAGGCAGGTGACTGTGGGAGCAGCCTGGTAGGTAGGTAGGTAGGTAAGAGAGACAGGTAAAACATTCTACTTTAGTATCAACACTGCTACGCCTTTAGAAACGTTATTTGAGGGATCTACACAAGCCTCAATTTTCTCTTCGTTCCTTTCTTTTTCTTTCTTTTTTTTTTTTCTTCGTTCCTTTCTGAGTGTTCACCGTGGGTAAATTGATGGCACTAAGTATTGTGAGTAACATGGAACAATTTTACACCTGGTGTCTGCCCTCAAGGATTAATAATTTCATTATACAGATAAGAGAAATAAACAGAACTAAAAAACAATTACAAAAGTGAATCTGCTAGCATGCTCTCATTTTCCAGTTAGGAGAAGTGGTTAAGGGAGTGGCGTTTAGGTTGGTCAGGAAAAGCTCAAGGTGAGCCTGAGTTTCCGTTTGCGTGGAACAGAACACTTGTTTATTTACAGTGAGCAGAAGTGTACAAGTGACCACACTGCATTGCTCTGATCACACTGACCATGGCAGGGAGACAGTGGCTTGGGTGTTTCAGCTTAGAGGGACGAGGATGCAAGGAGAGTAGGGTGAGTGGGGTACGGGACAAAGTGGGCTGCCACTGCTTGTGGTTGCTTAACGAGGACGAGGAGATGAAAGTATTTGAGGAGCATTAATTTAAAAAATTTTATCTTGACTATTTTAACAAAAGTCATCTGGTGCCCATAAAAGCTGTCGGCGGTATACCGAGTTACGGGGGTAGCTTCTGGAATTCATCTTCTGTTTGCTTTACTTACTACCTTGTGGCTGGACAAACTAGTTAACTTCATTGAGCCTCATGACTTCACATGCAAAGTGAAAATAAGAACAGTCCCCACCTCATAGCACAGTGTCTGGTGCCTGGTAAGTGCCCTATTACCACTAGCTATGATTACTCATAATAACCTGTTTAAAATCACAGGACAGTGATTATGTGGTGACAGCTTTTTTTTTGAACAATGTAATAAGATTTAGTAGTCATAAATTGCATTGGGTTTCTTCTCTTTGTAAATACATATTTAAGCCTCTCTGATTAGCCGTCCTGAGGAATTAATTTGACACAAAGACTTCCATAATACAGTGTTTCATCAGAGGCTTCCCTTTCCTGCTGTTTTGGTAAATACTAGGCAGTTTTTAAAAGAAAGCGTTTTCTTTTAAATATTGACTGATTTGCAAAGTAGTTCCTTCTGCTTCTGTTTGCTTTCTGAATTACTGCAGTGTAGCTAGAGGTCTGCAGTTATAGCTGATATGGTGTATGAAGCATTTAAAGGTATGGTTAGTCGTAAAATGTCATGTTAAGTTCGAAAAACTGAAGGGTCTACCATTTGCAAAATATTGCAGGGCTATAGCAAGGAGTAAACATGGTCTTTACTCTTCATTTAAAGCACCCAATCCAGAGGTGGAGAGTGCCCTGAAACCAGCATGAGAACCCAGGCCTACGAAACCGCTGTCAAGGCATTTTCCCTAGACGAGACATCACAATTTAGATTGCAGCAGATTTGTCCTTACTCATAAAATGAGTCAAAATTCTATTTTTTTCAGATAGATATTTTTGCCTTTACAGTTATTTTATTGATTTATTTTTTTAAAAAGTTTATTTTTAAGTAATCTTTATCCCCATAGGGGGGATAAAGTGCGATTCGAACTTATAACCCTGAGATGAAGAGTTAGTTGCATGCTCCACTGACTGAGCCAGCCAAGTGCCCCTACAGTTACTGATTGATTGGTTGATTTTAGAGAGAGAGAGTGCATGCACATGCACATACAAAGGGAGGAGGGGCAGAGGGAGACAGAATCCCAAACAGACTCAATCCCATGACCCTGAGATCATGGCCTTGGCCAAAACCAAGAGTCTGATGCTCATTCAGGTGTGCCACCCAGGTGCAGTTTCTTTTAATACCATATTATAGAATCGGTATATCTACATATGAGATAAAAAGCCATCTAATCAGAACAAAACTAATAACCAGAGCAAGCCCATGCTTCATTCACAGTGAATTTGAAATTGAACAGGAATGTCTGTGGCCCTTATCACAGTTCTGTTTTAGTGATACTCATTTTTGCCATTGATCTGAGAGACACAGTCTTCAAGCCTTTAGTTACCTGTGAAAGCTTACCCTTAAGGTGTAACCTTGTAAGGTAGGGGCCTCAGCAGTCTCTCTGAAATGAGAGACCATAGTTGGATCTTTGTTAGGAGCTCAGTTAGTTACAGACCCTTTGTAGTTATGGACTACATCATGGAAGTGTGCCATCTGTGGTGTTGAACTGCCATCATATACAGATTTGTTTGAGGTGCATGGGATGCACATTGACTAGAAGTCCTCGTCAGCAAGGCTCTCTGGTCTAGTAGAAGAAGGTCAAGATTGAGAAATAGAAGGTGTGGATTCTTAGACAGCTAGCTACTGGTAGTCCTAGGGCAAGGTATTTAATTTATGTAGACCTCAGGTTTTCCTCTTTGTAATAAAAGAATAATACTGTCTTGCCAGGGACATGATGAGAATCAAATCAGGTGATGTATGTTTATTTTATTTGTATATTTTTTAAGATTTTATTTATTTATTCATAAGAGACCTCAAAGAGAGGCAGAGACACAGGCAGAGGGAGAAGCAGGCTCCCTCTGGGGAGCCCGATGTGGGACTCGATCCCAGGACCCCGGCATCACACCTTGAGCCAAAGGCAGACGCTCAACCACTGAGCCACCGAGGCATCCCAAATTAGATGACATTTATTAAAGTATTGTGGAAGTAAAAATGATGTCATCTTTAGATGAGAGAGGGTCTTTGGGGTTTAAGATATTTATTTTCCTTTTTCCTGTTCTGATTATTTTAGTGTGCTTTACTCTGCAGAAAGTCTGGAGTAACTGATTACTATGCTTTGGATGATTATCATGCCCTTCACTTAACTAGGAAGATTGTGAAGAATCTAAATTATCAGAAGAAATTAGATGTGAGTTGGTTATGTTCTTGTATCTTTTATTTTCTTGAAAAGCATTTTGGCTTATGTTACCTTGAATTATGTTTTTAAATGGATTAATATGATTGTTTTATATTTCTGCAGGTTACTATAGAACCTTCTGAAGATCCTTTATTCCCTGCTGATGAATTGTATGGAATAGTTGGTACAAACCTTAAGAGGCAGTTTGATGTCCGAGAGGTGTGTAGGGTGAACTGTGAGCTATAAACCCTGCTGTCTGTCTCTTTATATTTGTATCCATTTTTTTTTTTATGTGTATCCATTTTTTAGGTTGAAATCGGTTTCCGTACTTTCCTGCCCAGAGCCCCTTGTGGCTCTCAGTAGGGAGTGACATGTAAGGGGCAAGATCTCTTACTAGAAGGAAGAGGGGGATAAAAATCTCTTAATGGTTGGAAAGTTTTTGTTGCACAGTGGTGACGCTTGCTTTGTTCATGAATAGGACTCCCTATTCCTGTGGACATTAGGAATGATGTAGGCAACTTTATTAATTTTCATCTATTTCTTTTTAGTGTTCTTATTTTGGGAAGTGGACGAAATGTCATTAAGTTGTTGAAAGGAAAAAAACGTACCCTTTCAGATCAATATGACCTTAACAGAGATTAGACTTTTGATGACACCTGAAGATGTTGCTATGGTTACAGATTGCTGACATGGTCTTCTTTGGTCTCGATTAATAATTTTTAGTGCATGCATATAGCATGTAGTCTTTTATTTTGTTCACTATCCATATCTGACAGTACTTTTTAAATGGGGAAATAATCTTAGTATCAGGTTCTGTGCCTTAATATTTGTTAGTTTTCCCTTTGACTATAAAACTATTGTGTTATTGTGTGAAAAATTGTAGAAAATGCAGAAAAACATAAGATTGCTTATGATCCCACCCTCCAGAGAAAGCAGCGAATATTTTGGTGTTTTGGCTTATTGTGTATGTATACATTTTTACATAGCTGTGATAGTGTACACATACAAACATATGCATGTGTATTTTTGTTTTTTAATTTTTTAATTAAGGTTTTATTTGAGAGAGAGCACTAGTGGGTTGGTGGGGAGGACAGAGGGAGAGGGAGAAGCAGGCTCCCCACTAAACAGGGAGTGCAATATGGTACTTGATCCCAGGACCCCAAGATCATGACTTGAGCCGAAGGCAGACTTTCACTTGACTGAGCCACTCAGGTTCCCCCACATGTGTATTTTAAAAATTCTTTTTCCAGTTTAATTTATAAACATTTCTCTAATATTTAAAAGTTCTTCATAAAGCCTTTTACCATGACTAGGTCTTATTTGCTATAATAATACCTGGTGACACGGTAGGCACTCAGTAAATATTTTTTTGAACAAATTGATGAATGTAATATCCCACCTGTGAATGTGCACATTTATTTTAGGCAATACCCCTATATTGTGGGTTCTTAACATCCTGGATTTTTATGGAACTCCAGCTGGTATTTCACGTTAGGAAGGTGACTTAGTTAATTGCAAGCTATAGAATTAGGATTTTAGCTTGCCTCTTCAGTTAATTACAGGCATAGAGAGTTTGGTACTTACAATCCAACGTGCTTGAAAAATGAGTTGTTGCAGATAGCCAGGTTTTCTAGATGGCTAAGAGTTCATCCAATCAAGCATAACCACTTTTTTCCATTTATTCGACAGTATTTATTGAAAGCTTGTTCTGTGAAGGTATTGTCTGAGACACCAGGGGTACAGAAATAAGTAAAGCAGATGCAAATCCATGCCTTTATGGTAGTTCCATTTCATTTACATGGAGGTCTTTTTATAAAGATAGACTTTTTACCTTTTCTTTGTTCTTTTTTTTTTTTTTTTAAGATTTTATTTATTTATTCCTGAGAAATACAGAGAGAGACAGAGACATAGGCAGAGGGAGAAGCAGGCTGCCTGTGGGGAGCCCGATGTGGGACTTCATCCCTAGACTCTGGGATCAGGACCTGAGCCAAAGGCAGATGCTCAACCACTGAGCCACCTAAGTGCCCACCTTTTCTTTTCTTCTCTTTTCTTTTCCTTTTCTTTCTTTCTCTTTTTTTTTTCTTTTATTTATTTATTAGAGAGAGAGAGGAGGAGAGAGCACAAGCAAAGGGGAGGAACAGAGGAAAAGGGAGAAGCAGACCCCCTGCTGAGCAGGGAGTCTGACAACCTGGGGCTCCATCCCAGGACTGACTGAGTCACCAGGCGCCCATAGACTTTTACCTTCTTTTTTTTTTTTTTTTTTAAAGATTTATTTAGGGATCCCTGGGTGGCGCAGTGGTTTGGCGCCTGCCTTTGGCCCAGGGTGCGATCCTGGAGACCCGGGATCGAATCCCACGTCAGGCTCCTGGTGCATGGAGCCTGCTTCTCCCTCTGCCTGTGTCTCTGCCTCTCTCTCTCTCTCTCTCTCTCTGTATGACTATTGTAAATAAAAAAATAAAAATAAATAAAAATAAATAAATAAATAAAGATTTATTTATTTATTCATGGGGGGGGGGGCAGAGACACAGGAAGAGGGAGAAGCAGGCTCCATGCCGGGAGCCCGATGTGGGACTTGATCCCGGGACTCCAGGATCGTGCCCTGGGCCAAAGGCAAGGCGCTAAACCGCTGTGCCACCCAGGGATCCCGACTTTTACCTTCTTAAATAGTATCCTAGACTTTCTACCTTTTGCTGATTCATATTCATCATTGTGATGATAATATGCTATGTTTTTCTTTTTTTTTTTTTTTTTAAGATTTGTTTATTTATGATAGACATAGAGAGAGAGAGAGAGAGGCAGAGACACAGGGGGAGGGAGAAGCAGACTCCATGCAGGGAGCCTGACGTGGAACTCGATCCCGGGACTCCAGGATCGCGCCCCGGGCCAAAGGCAGGCGCTAAACTGCTGAGCCACCCAGGGATCCCCTATGTTTTTCTATAATTGCAAATAAGCCTTGTATGGAGGTCTTACTCTGGAGCTAGAACTGTGATGTTCATTCAAAAACCTGGCTTGTAGTCCTTGTTTCCCTAGTCAGTGGTTCTGGATGGGACCTCTCTGAGCATTGCTTTCCACTTCTAGAAATAGGTATAGTACCAAATGCTATGTCTGTTCGCTGAAGTTTGAGTCTTTGTGAAGACAAGTTAATGTATCATATGTGGCTGGGTGGTGGTCATCCTATAGCAAATAGAAGATAGTTTCATACTAAGTGGCCCTAGTTTGCTGTACTCTTTGAGTGGCTTTATTATTTATTTTTGTGTGAAAGAATGGTAGTTGTTATTTGTTGATTGTGTTTTAGAAGGTACAGTTTTGGAGATACATAGTGTTTAGAACAGGTAACTTACATTCCTGTTACATTATCGAATCTTTTAGAAAATAAAAAATAATTCCAGGTAAGCTCTTGCTTTTTGGAAAGAATGATGTTGGGAAGCATTCATTCATCATTCAGCCTTTGAATGTTACAAAACAAGGCTTTGATGGGGTTAACAGGAAAAAGGAAGTTTGAACTAAATAGAAAAATGGTGTGTATCATCAAAAATAGTTTCTGAACAAATCTGGAATATGTTTGGAACTCTTTGAAATAGTCCTGATGTATATGATGAGTCCCAAGGATAAACTGTTTAGTAATTACTCCTTTTAGATTAAATATGTATATATGTGGGATGGTCCTTCAAGTATATCAGATTCAGAATCAAGGAACCCTCATTGAAGCCTTAATAATAATAGCTACTTTTCAGTGAGGGCCAGGTGGTGTGCTTTAGTTAGCACTTTTTAAAGTATGATCCCCCCCCTTTTTTTTTTAACTTTTTAAGTTTTTATGTGCATACCACATCTTCTTTATCCGTTCATCAGTCAGTGGCCATTTGGGCTCTCTCCATAGTTTGGCTATTGTAGATAATGTTGCTATAAACACCAGAGTGCACGTATTCCTTCGAATCAGTATTTTTGTATCCTTTGGGTAAATACCTAGTAATGCAATTGCTGGGTCATAGGATAGTTCATTTCTAACTTTTTGAGGAACCTCCATACTGTTTTTTAGAGTGGCTGCATCAGTTTGCATTCCTACCAACATTGTAAGAGGGTTCCCCTTACCTTTTTTTTTTTTTTTAACTAGATGAAAAAACTGAGGCTTAGAGGATTTTAGGGAATCAGCCTATGACTCTAGTTTCTCAGCAGTAGACCTGGGTGTCAGAGCTGGGTCTTCATCTCAGCATTATTTTTTTAGGTTCATCACATCCTTACAACTTTGTCCCACCTTTGCAGAAGTGAGAACTGAGACTCTCTCTAGGACCGCAAATCCTGTGTGATCCCTTCATTTGGAGGCTAAGTCTCCTCACTCTAAGCCTATACCTTGCTTTATGATTGAATCCCTGACCCTTAGCTAATATTTTTTAGTAGTTCCTGAAGCTGTGAGTCCACCTTCCAGCCCTTATAGTCTCTCTGCTTTTCTGGTATGTTACATGGTTCTGTGGCTCTTACAGGGCAGTGTAAAACCAGGGCCCAGAGTGACTTGAGAGGATTAACCTCATGTATAAAGTGAAATTCTAGAGAGAAGACTTGCTGTGTAGGGTAAAATTCTGTGAGAGTGACAACTTAACAGGGAACTTGTTTTCCTTATGAATGTCTTAATGTAAAAATCTTTTTGTAATATGACCTTTCAGGGACATTGTTATTTTTCTTTTCAGGTCATTGCTAGAATCGTGGATGGAAGCAGATTCAACGAGTTCAAAGCCTTATATGGAGACACATTAGTTACAGGTATAAAGGAAAAGAGTTGAAAATAACATTTTTTTAAAAGATTTTATTTGTAAGTAATCTCTATCCCCAGTGTTGGGCTTGACCTCACAACCCTGCGATTAAGAGTCATATGTTCCACCGACTGAGCCAGCGAAGTACCCTGAACATTTTCTATGGCTTTGAGAATAGGTGATCTCTTGTCTCAAGGTATTGATGTACTTGGTGTGAGCTTTGTTATTTAGAGCAGCACAAGTGTGTGGGTCCTTATTCAGAAGGAGTTGTTTTGTGAAGGTTATGTGTAGCTCAATGGTTTCATAGATCGAGAGGGTTTATGATGATGACAGCTAGATGCTGTGGGATTGGACCTTGTCTGGGGCTTGGCATTCACTGTATAGAAAGCTTATTGGGGGGCCCTGGGTGGCTTAGTCGGTTAAGCATCCAACTCTTGATTTTGGCTGAGGTCATGATCTCACGGTTGTGAGATGGAGCCCCACGTCAGGCTCTATTGGGCATAGAGCTTGCGTAAGATTCTTTCCCTCCCTCTCTATCTGCCCCTCGCCCCACTTCTCTCTCCTCTTAAAAAGAAAAAAAAAGCTTCTTATCACAGTAAAATTAGCAGAAATAATTGTAGTTCTTTTTGTTTCTCTGGATAATTTGTAGTATTTTTGAAAATTTCAGCACTGTTTCCTTGGTTCTTTAGTCTTTAATTCTTCTAGCAGATTTTATGTTATGTAAGCTTCCTAGAAGGATGTAAAGTGAGCTACACCTTCCCATAACCTCTATGTAGGTCTAACAGTGAACCTTGTAAACACTAGATTGAGAATATAGGACAGAAAACCAAATCTGAAAAAACAAAACGTTTTTAAAAGTTTATAAAAAGTTCATTCATCTAAAGTGTTGAGTTTGTAGGCTTTTGAAGAAAGGTATTTGAAACTGATGCTAGGCCCATAGTAATCTATCTTGGCCAAATGGCAAAATGAATTTTGTGAATCTTATTAGGTCTTTTGAAAGCTAGAAAATGTAGTAAGTAACCTGGAGACAACATATCAGAGGAAAAAAAACCTACAAAAAATCCAAATTGCAAATATACGTTGAGGCTTAAGGATAAATCACAGCACTTTCTCCTGGTCTGATTTATGAACAACAAAAGGCTTCACACTGGGAGTGGAATTTATGTTTTTGTATTTGAGGTGTTTAAGTGATTAAAAGCTTTTTGTTTGATACATAGTCAGGATTTGTGACCAAACAGTTCAGGATGTAACCCTCATCGTGCAGCAGTTGGAAACAAGTCAGAGCTGTTTCTGCTTCTTTCCCAAAGATGGGTGGGGCTGTCTTTGCTGTTTTTATGAATTTGCCCCAGACTTGCTGACAGACTTGTGGTACCTTTGTCCCCTAGAGTACTAAGGATATACGTAGCGCCTGTGTCCCTCCTTGACTGTGCTGGGGTTCAGATAAGATCGGAGAAAGGGAAGAGGCGTGAGGTGGAGAAGAGGGGCGCAGGAGGTGGTGAGATGAGCAAGTATTGGCAGGGAGGGAGAAGAATGGATTTTCTGAGGATCAGGTATGTCTGGCAGCTGTGAAGTTTCCTCCTGCCTCTGCACTTACCTCACATAGGCCCTAGTAATTTCTTAGACCTTCTGCTTTCCTTTTTGGCCCAAAGGAGTTTGGTGAAGGTACTTCCTCCGTGTCCCTGATATAGTGGGGCATGTTTCCTCCCTAGTAGGCCCTGTGCCTGGAGATCCTAGTCCAGGCTGAGGTTAAAAGTCTAGACAGCTCACAGGGCAGTAACACTTTAGGGGCAGTTACCACACTGCCAGGACAGGTGCAAGATTCTTCACTGTTTTTGTGGGATGAGGGAAGTCAGAGTGGATGGCTAGACCTTGGGGGATCGTCACCCCTCTGTGTTGCCTCCGTGAGTGGCATTGCTGTCTAAGATGGACAGCGTTGGCTTTTGGTTGGGATTTTAGGACAGAAAGACCAAGAAAAGACAAGGCCAGAATAAAGAAAGACAAGGCCAGAATAAAGAAAGAAAACACATTTTTAACGACTCAGTGTTTCTGGTGCATCAGTAGATTGACATTCTCTCTTGTCCATTAATTTTTCTTCAACAATTTTTTGAGCACCTGCTTTGTGTCATGTATCACACGTGTCAGTGGTGGTCTGGGCCTCCTGAGCTTGAAGACAGAGCCCGGTTCTGGGCCCTTTGGTTGCGTGCCTTCTTGGACCTTGGCTTCCAAGTATTTGACACCTACCTAGAGTCCTAAAGAGCCTTGTTGAAATTCAAGATCTCTCTAGCCACAGTGTTCAGGTTCACAAAACCTCCTGAAATTGCCTCGAGTGTCTCCATCACATACTGACTACTGGTTCCCTTCCCTTTTTTTTTTTTTTTTTTTTTAGATTTTTGTTTATTTATTCATGAGAGACAGAGAGAGGGAGAAGGAGGCTCTTTGCAGGGAGCCCGATGTGGGACTCGATCCCAGATCCCAGGATCGCACCCTGAGCTAAAGGCAGACACTCAACCACTGAGCCCCCCAGGCATCCCCAGTTCCCTTCCTTTCCTTCTCCCTTACTCCGTGTGTCTGTGCGAATGGGCAGCGGGTGTTTGCAGCAGCGATGGGACTAGGAGTGACATTCATTCTTCTAAGCTTAGCCATTTTTTTACTTGAAACTCATGACCCTCTGGGCTTGACTGTGTTCCTGCTTTTTTTTTTTTTTTTAAGATTTTATTTATTTATTCATAGACACAGAGAGAGAGAGAGAGAGAGGCAGAGACACAGGCAGAGGGAGAAGCAGGCTCCATGCAGGGAACCCGATGTGGGACTTGATCCCGGGTCTCCAGGATCACCCCCCAGGCTGCAGGCGGCGTCAAACCGCTGCACCACTGGGGCTGCCCTGTGTTCCTGCTTTTAAAAGCAAGTCTGCCTTTGCTGGCTTTATCCCCTTTACCAAAGTGTGTGTCATCGCCACAGGCATTTTCAAGCAAGCCACTTACCTGAAACTGGCGGAGAGCTCTGAATGTGGGCCTTGAAGGGCCCTCCGTCTGGGATCCATTGCATTCCAGAATAGCCTCCGTCTGGGACTGAGTGGACACTCTGACATACGTTCCATGAATGGGCGACACCCTAATCCCATCATCTAACCAAACCAGCCAGTCAGACAAGTGACAGCCTTACCTGTGACACATCCAAGGAAGCAAAAAACCTAGACTCCAGGGCCTTAGAAATAAGAAACTGTGACAGGAGCTGTTCTGTACCCTGGATATGATCTCTACATTTTAAACTTTGATTTGAAATTAAGGAAGCATAACCATGTCTGTCAGCTGTGTATTAAAAGCCCTCAGAAAAAATAAATATTTTTTCAATTTTCTTTTGAGGATTTGCTAGAATATTTGGATACCCCATAGGTATCATCGGAAATAATGGAGTTCTCTTTTCTGAATCGGCAAAAAAGGCAAGTACTGTTAATGTTAAACGCGTTGCAAGATTTTCTGTTTTAATTGAAACATAATTAACTTTTGAAGGTCAAGTAATGAATGAAAGTTTATGGCCTAAAAGCTTTAAAACATTTAACCAAATGCCTTAGTAGGCTGAACACTGTGAATGTGCATGTGGACGTGTGTGTGTTAGTGTTTGAAACAGTTCTTACAGACATTTATATTAACCTGTTTTATCTAAAGCACTATTTAAAAAATCAAATGTCTTAGGAAAGTTCTTATGAGATCCTTGAATTACAAGTGCTGCGGATGACATGCACACATCCTTAGGCTCTAAGAATTCTGTGGAGATTTGAAGTGGAAAACTAAAGAATTGCCTTGTAGCTCCCACGGATGAGCAGTTCTTCTCTTAGTTCTTTGGGTTTTAGTTGCAACCTGTTCAGAACACTAGCGATTGACCTTGTTCCTACAGCTGTGTGCCAGTGATCACACAGGCAACTGCAAAACAAGCGCAGTACACCAGGGTCACACGTGCCACTGACGGTGGGTCTGCGTGGTCGTATTGCTACTAGCCAAGCACAGGGGACTCTGTTATTGTTGACCCAGGTATGGTGTTTGCAGGGTGCATGCTTGGATGCAGGTTTGTTAACTCCTTTAAAAAGATGATCGCATGTGCTTACAGGGGGCTCACTTCATCCAGGTATGCTGCCAAAGGAATATTCCTCTGCTGTTCCTTCAAAACATCACTGGTAAGACAATAGCTTAATCAGTTTTGTTGCATTATCCCAGAGCTGCACTGTGCATGCGGTATGACTCCGGTATTGGACCGTGTAGACCCAGGATGGTTCTGTCATAACAAAAAGGTCTATTGGATACTTTTCATATGAAGAGTCTCTTGCAGGGTTAACACTTCATGAATCAAATATATGAGAAGTTTATCTGTATTTGGATAAAGCAGTTTCCGAGTTCCGCGTCATACAGTCTGGTGGCCTCCCTTCACCCCTCCACACGCATACCTGTCCCTCCAGCAGCAGCAGTAGCAGTAGCAGCAGCAGTAGCAGTAGCAGCAGGGCTCTGTTCTCCGCCAGGAACGTTCTCTGATCTCACTGCCAGAAAATGTTTTCTGACCCAGCTCTTTCCTAGCACTTTTTTTGCCCAAAAGGATTTCAAGCACATGCTGTGGCTCCCCGCTCCCCCTTTCCCTCATTGTTTATTGTGTAGTTAATTCTGCCCGAGGTGACATATTATAAAAGGTCTACGCCCATCCTGAACAACAGTCTGGGGATTTGAGTTTGGCCTCCAGAGAATGGTATGATCAGTATCACCTCTCTGGATTTCATGTTTCATACATGATCTTAATGGGGTGCATGAAATGATCTTGAAGGTTTCTTATGGTTGTAGATTTCTTTTTCCCCAGAATTCTCTTGTTCTACTATTTGTATTGTATGCTGCAGTTAGATAATTGGTTAGCTGACCCCCCCCCCCCCCCCAGTCTTCTAAGTGATCCATAGTTATCTCAGGCTCAAAGGAAGGAGGGCTCTTAATTACTTGTTAGAATCAGAGAAGCCTTCACCAAAAAAAAAACAACAACAACAAAAAAGAGTGGCTCATAGCAGTTAGCAGGGCTTTAAACCATCTGGTGCTGTTCTTAAGTTTATGCTACTTGGTTAGATGAGTTTTGAGAGGCGTCATATCCTTATTTAAGTTGGCTTTCTGTTTTTGTTTTTGTTTTTTTTTTAAATTCAATTTGCCGACATGTAGTATAACATCCAGTGCTCATCCCATCAAGTGGCCTCCTCAGTGGAATGTTTCAGGGAGTCAAGATAAGGCGGAACGAGAAGCTGTGAGCTCTAGTGAGAGCCCTGCTCAGAGGGGCCGCAGGGAAGCACGTCGGGCCTGGCGAGGGCGAGGGCTGTCCCATCAGTATGGTGGTTTCCGCAGCTTGTACAGGTGTCCCATAACGAGTGAGTCTGACGGGGGTATTGCGAGGGGAGGAGGAACGTGCCCAAGACCCAGAAGGCCCAATGAGGCCGCAGAGCAGCTTCAGCAGAGTTGAGAGCTTGAGGAAGTAGAGGAACCTTGTCATTATGAAAAATTCTTGTACCTAGTGGTGGAGCCCCTGGCAGAGGCTCTTAGTGTCTCTGAAACATTAAAGTTTTAAGGCAGCACTCCAGAAGGAGTAGCGTCTGTATCGAAGCAGGCCCGTGAGCACCAGGCCTCAGAGCAGGGCTTGCCATGGGCCTTGGTCTTCGGCTTGCCGTGTCACATTCTTTGATCACCAAGCCCCTGTGCTGAGACAATTTGTTGAGGATAAGTCTGTTTTCCTTTTGTCTCTCTTAGGATTTATGGTTGGTAGAGACTATGAAGCTGAAGGAATTGCCAAGGATGGTGCCAAGATGGTGGCCGCTGTGGCCTGTGCCAACGTGCCCAAGATAACTATCATCATTGGAGGGTCTTACGGGGCTGGAAACTATGGGATGTGTGGTAGAGCATATAGGTTGGTGGTTGTCATGGTCTTCTCTGAAAGAATGAATCACACCTCAAGCATAAGTATAAATGGTCAGTTTGTTACCGGTTTATTTGAAACACAGAATGATATTCCCAGATCTTGGTTGGTTATACAATAATTGGTATCATCTGGAGGGGTGAGATGAAATTTTCAGGCTAAATGTGCTACTTGGAAGAAATCCACAACAGGAATCAGGAAATATTTTGAAATGGCTGCTAATGACAATACTACATATCATAACTCGTGTGATGCAGCTGAAGTCTTGCTTTGTGGCGGGTGTGTAGTAGACATAAGTATATATATTGGAAAAGAAGGAAGGCTGGAAATCAATGAGCCAGGCAGCCAGCTCAGGAAGTTCAAAGAACAGCATATTAAATGCAAGAAAAATAGAAAACAAGATGTTATTAAGATAGAACAATCAGGCCCAGAGTTGTCGTGTTTATAAAGGTTAACAAATTTGGCAATCTCTCAGTAAAACTAAAAAAATAAAACAGAAAGGCTTTATTTATTTATTCTTATCAGAAATGGAAAACAGGACATGATTGCAGATAACAAGGGGATAATTTGAATGTCTTTATGCTCACTAAATTGAGATAAAATGAGAAAATGAAATTTATCAAAGCAGACAGCGCAATCACCTAGAGAATGTAGAAATCCCACTATATTGAGGCCACACCTCTGGAGATGAGCCTGGGGTGGGTTCCAGGCTTGGGTGTGTTTTTTTGTTTTTTGATCCCCTTGTAATGTCCAGCTAGATAAAAGAAACCACTCATTTAGAAGTAAACACAAGCCTGTGCGAACCTTCGTGAATTAATCTGATAGTTTTTTCTTCTGTCCCCCCACAGCCCAAGATTCCTCTACCTGTGGCCAAACGCTCGCATCTCAGTGATGGGAGGAGAGCAGGCGGCCAGTGTGTTGGCCACAGTAGCAGAGAACCAAAGAGCACTCAAAGGGAAACAGGTAAATGCCACTTCTCCTTCTTGTCTGGGTTTGGCCCTTAGCACTGAGCGCTCTCACGGCCGGGGGCGCGTGCCCGGAACCCCCCGTGTTCAGGGGTGAGGGTCTCACGCCGGGGCCTGGCTTCCTTTAGAAGATGCTGACCTTGAGCAGTGTGACTTACATATGCTCTGTCTCTCTTCGCAGAGCCACCGTCTTTGAGGTCCCTTCATGTAATTTTTTCAGAATTTCCAAGAAAACACTTGAGAAACCCTGCCTGTGAGCACCCGAGGCATAGAGACATTTGACTCTGAGTCATTTGCAGTTAGTGAGACTTAAATAAATGTGACTTACACCTTTGATTTTATGACTGAGAGGAGTGGGACTTTGGTTTCAGTGTCTCCCTCACAGTGTGTGTGGGAGGGCTCAGTCCTCCAAGTGAGAAATGAGTGATGTTATCCTGCGCATGTGATGAATGAAGGATTGCGGAGAGGTTACTGGCAGCTTGATGACAGGCAGGTCAGCAAGCGGTTGCTTTTAGTTTCACTGCGTGTTAATGGTAGGCTCTTTAAGGGATTATTTTTTAGGTCTTGTCAGCAACATCAAACAAAAGGTACTGAGCACTCCACAGGGCCCGGCGTGCTCCCAATCACCCTAGAAAATTGACATGACTCAGAGAAAATGTGGTTCCTGCCCCCGTGAGGAGCCGACATCCTGGGGGCTGACACATTACAGTCTAGGGGTTGAGTGAACAACAAGAAAATTTATTAAGGCAAATTCTTCACTGCAGGTTTTCAAAGGGGATGCTTTTGTTTGTGTCTCAGAGATCCTTCTGCAGTTCTGAGTTCATTAGTTTTGTTTCTGAGAGAGCGCGTGTGCGCGTGAGTGCAGTGGGGGATGGGGAGGAGTGGTGGCTGGGCAGAGCCATAGAGAATCCCGGTGCAGGGCTCAGTCCCATGGTCCTGAGATTGTGGCCTGAGCTGAAATCAAGAGTTGGAGGCTTAACCTACGGAACCACCCAGGTGCCTCTTCATTAATTTTTATGAGTTATAACTTAAAAACTATCTTCTGCAAGTATCACACGTTCTGGTGGTTGGTGCGTGTTTCTGGAATGGTTTGGGTGTGCTGTTTTACTGTAACGGGGCATAGCGTGGACAGGGCTTTTCCTTCTAAGGCGGTCATTCCTCCCTTGAGGGATCCTCCAGTCAACTGTCCAGTTTGCAGAGTGAGGATAAGAGAAGGGCAGGGCTTTGCCTCTCTCAACGCATCCCACCTGTGCCCCACTTCCTCAGTTGTCTTCTCCAAGCGGCAGGAACTCTGCAGGCTTCACCCGAGGTTTCATACTCATTTCAGTACTGACTAGTATCCAAGCAAAATGAAAGGTTTCCGTGTGTGTGTGTTAGGGCTCGTGGGGGGTACGGAATGCTCCCTGATACATGTATCTCTAAGGATTTCATTTAGAGAGAGAGCGTGTTAGCGTGAATGGTGGGAGGGCAGAGGGACAAAGAGTCTCAAGCAGACCTGTGCTGAGTGCAGAGCCTGATGTGGGCTCCATCTCATGACCCTGAGATCCTGACCTGAGCCAAAATCAAGAGTTGGACACTTAAGGGACTGAGCCACCCAGGTGCCTCTCTACCTGTTATTTTAAACCATATAGCCCAGTGCACTAGTCTCTCACTAACAAGTTCTTTGACTGCTTTGACAGACCAATATATAAATCGTTCTATTTTTATGTATGAAAGGAAAGTACAGGACTTTAGTGGTTCTCTCTCCAAATTCTTGACATATTAATGATATTAAACTATGAAGGTACATCAAAGGTTGGATTTATTGAAATAACTCATTTGTTTTTGGTGTGAATTACTTTTTTATGTTGAAAATACTTTTTAAGGGGATGCCTGGGTGGCTCAGCAGTTGAGCATCTGCCTTCGGCCCAGGGTGTGATCCTGGAGACCCGCGATCAAGTCCTGCATCCCTCTGCCTGTGTCTCTGCCTCTCTCTCTCTGTGTATCTCTCATGAATAAATGAATAAAATCTAAAATATATATATATAATTTTGAATTATAATATATATATATTTCAGGGTTTCAAAATTAGTTTGCATAAAGATTTTTACATCTGAATTAATTATCACTTGTTTCTGGCAATACTGGTGAGCAAGCTACTAAATTTTTAGTTAGGGAGAAATACCTCTCATCTATTTGGGTTTATTCAAGTTGTGGTTGATGTTTTACCCTTTAGGCCTTAAAATTCTTTGAATTTGGCTATTTTGAATGAAAATTCCCTACTTGTCCACCTTCAAAAAGAAGTGCTACATGTAAGGTCGCCCTTTCACTATGCTGTATAATTCACATCCATTGCTGGAGCCTGCTAGAATGCTAAATTCCCGTGGTTTTGAATCTTACCTTAAAACGCCTCAGGCTGTTGTGTCTCTGGTAAGGGGGATGTCGCCCCAGACTCTCAAGTCTCAGGTAAGGGCCTGAGTGTTTGGGCATCTCTTATATTCCACATCTGTCACTGTGCAGATGTTGGTTGTGACATGATTACTCATGAAATGCTTGGCGCTTTTTTCTTGAGGTTCTCCTGAGTGGGTCTGTTGTTTTATTACAGTGGATTTACTTATGGCTTATGGTCCTTTTTTTTTTTTTTTTTCTTCAGTTGTCCAGTGCTGATGAAGCAGCTTTAAAAGAGCCCATCATTAAGAAGTTTGAAGAAGAAGGAAACCCTTACTATTCCAGTGCAAGGTGGGGCCCAGGACTGAGGTTCAGGGCAGCAGCCTTACACAGATCTGGGCAGTTGGGCTGGTCCAGCCTTCATGGGAACCAGACAGAAACGTTGAGACACATTTAATTTTGTACTGTGACCACTATCATGGGACTGTCTGATGAGATACCACCCCTTCTCCTGGGCTGGGCTGGGGATCCACCACCATTGGTCTGATTCTGCAGTCTCCCCACCCGTCTTCCTCATCCCACTTGTAGGTGAGGTCCCTGGACCCACAGAGGCTGAAACCTTTAATTCATTCTTCTATAATTTTTGCTTAAACACGTGGATTCCCATCATACCACCCCCTTTGATTACTTCGTGTTTACTCCATTTTGAATGTGAGAATGGTTGGACACTTGTTGGCACTTGCTGACAAGGGTGTGTGTGTATTCAGAAGGTGATTACTCACGGCCAGGGTCTGTGTGTCAACACCAAGTAATCCCTTCACATGCTGTTGTGGCTCTGGTTCTGTTTGTTTCTTGCACGGCTCACCGAGGTAATCAGTGATCGTGGCCTGCCCGGGCTGGAGACTCGCTGGCGTGTGTGCACTCAGACCTCTGTTTTCAGCAACGTTCATGTTCTTCATTTTGAGGCATAATCTCAGTTTCCTATCTTCCTTTTATCCCCTGGGCAGGTGGAATAAAGCATATAACTATTTGTGTCTTTTAAAATTGGGTTATGCGGTGATTTATGTAATTTACTGGTGAAGGCAAACTGGAAAGAGAAAAAATAAATAAAATTTATTTCAGTCATCTAAACAGAACGTCTGTGGCAGGCGCTGCTCCTCGCGCTGGGGGCACAAGGGCTGAACATACTTATTCTCAAGAGTGTAATCAGTTTCAGAATCAAAATAACACCATTTGACATCTTCAGAAAACCCATTTCTCTTCCTATTAATAAGAATTTTCGCCAGCAAATTTATGGGTATATTTTGTTGTTGTATGTCATTGATTCATTTAATTAAGATCAAAGTATTTTATAGTCTTTGGGACATTAAACACATTCTTTTTACCATCACTTAAATAGACTTCTGTAGTAGCCAGTAAAAGCAAAGAAGATATGGAAAAACCCCAAAAAAGGTATAAGAGAAAATAATAAATTGTAAACTTGCCTACAGTTTTTTGTTTCTGCAGAAGATTTTGAGTAAAATTCACAAGGACAGTTGAAATATTAAACTTTGAAAAATAGTGCATCTTTTTTTTCAACCCAGGCTACGTCATCTTTTGAGAAAGACTGAATCCCTTATTATTTTCATACTTGTGTTAGTATTATTTTAATGGACTGTATTCAAGGCAGAAGAGCAAATGGCCTGGGTAGATTTATCTTTGGAGACAAATATCAGACACTAAGGTTTTCCTCTATAACCCAAAGATGCTGAACCCTTCTGTGGAAACCCTTGGCAGCACAGGGACAACAATTTTCTTTCAAATTGAAAGGATTTTCAAGCCAGTTTATGACACCTTTGTCGGGTTGAATAAATCTTAGCTTCTCAATAAAATTCTGGTCTACTTGGGCTCTGCTGACCATTGGGTTGGAACCATCTTTTCAGAGAGCTCGTCCGTGATGAGCTACTGTGACCTGGGTTTCTCTCCATCCTTCATGTACATGCCTGGTTTCTTCTGCTAACTTCTTTTTATAATCAGAACTTTTTCAGGCATTTGATCAGGTCCTTTTACCCCTCTTACCTGGAGCGGTCTTTTTAATGACCACCCCGAAGCAGCCCTGGCATCACTGTGCCTGCTGTATTATTCTGCTGTAGGCTTCAGAAGGGAGTGTCATCAATCGACCTGGTCATGCATGGCAACCGTGGCCTTTCCTTATGGGCTGTTGATACTTCAGGGTCCCTATTATGAATGTTTTATGAGCAAAGATTTGATTCATGGCCTGTCGATGTAAGTATGGTTTAATAATTGATGCTATTGTCCAGATACTGAAGACAGTTTGTTTAAAGAAAGCCAAACTGCCACCTACTTAATGACCTTTAAAAAACAGTATTTCTCATTCGTGTTTCTTTATAAAATTGAGGTTGTCAGTGAAAAGCAAACACATTCCTACCTCAGAGTTTCTTTTGTAAGCAACTTCAAGTGACAACTTGTTTTCCTCTTGTAGCAAAAAATAAAGAACATATACGGAAGGTCATTTATTAAGAAAATGTAGTGGAGTCTAATCAGTAATTTTCATAGTTTCTTAAAAGTTTGGGAGTTTGGGGGAGATACACCTTTCCCAATAGAGACTTTGGTTTAAGATTATTACTTGGGTTCATGTGCCTCTCCGTGTTACTACCAGGAACACGGCAACTTGTACCCGAGTATGGACAGAAGAGGCACAGTAGGCATTTTCCTGGAATAAGTAAAAATGTTTTAAAATCAAGGATTATTTTGAGGTTCCTTGAAGCAGTTCCCAAAGTCAGAAGCTCACCCTGATGTGCTGGGAGGGCCTGGGATGAAAGTGCTGTCATTTTCCTTTCTCTCTCCTCCTCCTTTGAGTGTGGCCTCAGTCGTGAGAATGTAGCACACCAAAGTAGGTCCCTATGGTACCTGAGGAATAACCTCCGCAGCTCTGGGCATAAATTGTGTAAATGGTAATTTGGTGATAGATTCCTAATGACTTGTGTTTTGTTCTTTTTATCAGGCTATGGGATGATGGGATTATTGATCCAGTGGACACCAGACTGGTCCTGGGTCTCAGTCTTAGTGCAGCCCTCAACGCACCAATCCAGAAGACTGACTTTGGCATCTTCAGGATGTAACTGGAACATATGGCATCTTCCACTGGACATGTACCAAAAATTAATAGACTTAGTAGCCTTAAAATTTTAGACTTCTCCAACATGTGGCTATAAGAGTAAAATTGCTTTCTTAACACAGTACATTGTATTTTTCTACCTTAAAAAAAAAATCAGTGAAGATATTTATTTGATGAACTTCAATTCCTTGTCAATTTTCCCAGAGAAATTTTTCTGTGGTTCACCTTTGCCGCCCATAAAATGAAGAGAATGATTTACAGTTACCCTTCCTCACCCACGCATAGTGGGGAAAGTTCTGTAACCTATAAATTGCAGATATGATGGAGATTATTCACCGAAAGTTGCTTTTCCACTGAAATGAATGTTTTTCTGATTGTGCACGATGCGATTTTAACACAGTTTTTAAAAGCATCTGTTGCTGTCTGCGCTCGGGGTCCTGTTTGCTCCCTTCTCTCTTCATCCTCCTCCTCCTCCTCGGCTTCTACTGCCAACAGCCGTCTCCAAGGCTGACCTCCACGTTGCTGAAACCAGTGGGTTCTTTCGTGGTTTTATTGGACCGAACTCTCTGCACCATTAAGAGCGGTGGAATGCTTCCCCCTAGCAGCGCTCTCCTTAGTGTCCGGACCATAACTCTAGGTTTTCTACTAACCTGTTTGGCCTTTCTTGTTCCATCTCCTTTGCCAGGCCCTGTTCCTCTACCGATTTCTCTTACACTCCCTGTACCGTTTATCCTGATTTTTCACTAGTAAAAGATTAACAAATTCTTTAAAAGGTACAAAAATAACAGGGAAGTATCTCATCCTTTTTTTTTAAATTGTGATAAAATGTATGTATCATAAAATACAGCATTTTCACCCTCTTAGGTGTTCTGTGGCCTGAAAACATTCACACGGTTACGCTACCATCGTCCGCATCCATCTCCACAACTTTTCAACATTCTGAGCTGAAAGTCTGTTATTGGTAACTCCCCGTTCCCTCTCCCCCAGCTCACGGCACTTTGCTCATTCTTAAATATATGTGTTTCTCATGGTTTGGTTTATTCTCACTGGGTTGGTCTAGCCCTTTCTGGCTTTGGTTGCCGCCTGAATGCACCTGATTCCTGCCTCAACACATCTCCCTGAGCTCCAGACCTGTATGTCCCCTCCTGGTTTTCTGCACAATGATGGTCTTACAGGAGCCTCAGGTTCAATCATCAGGGTCTGTTGATTTTGCCTCCTGTCTCTTGAATTCCCCATCACTTTTGTTCTCCGCCGTGGCAGGCTTTAGAAGTGGTCTGTGTCCAGTCGTAGCTTGCACTGCCTACTGCCTCTGTCGTGCGGAGAGTAGCGTGGCCATGCTAGTCTCATTCCAAGTGCGTGTCTGGTCAGGCTGTCCCCTTGCTTCAATGTCTCACTGGCTCCCGGTGGAAGTGCGAGACCCTCCATGGTCTCCAGGATTGTGGCCATCATGCCCCTTCGTCTGTCTCATCTCTTTGACTCTTCCTCACCCTTGGTGCTCCAACTGCTCTGGACTTCTCATTCCCTGAACCTACAGAGTCCTTTCCCCCCCCCAAGGATCCGTCTGCCTGCACCATTCTACTTCCCCTTAAACATTTACCATTTTGTCCATGACCTCCTCGGGCTGGGTCAGACAGTATGAGAAACACAAACATTTCTTTAATATTGCCCTCCTGTTAGGATGTAAGCTCTCTGAGAGCAAGGATCTCCTGCTTCGCCTGCCCCTCCAGTCCCTAGCACTAGTAGGTGCTTACATGATATGGTGAATGAATAAGAAATCCATACTTTAATGGATGTCTTCAGACCACATTAAAATTGTGTGATTATATGATCTGATACAACTATCAGGTGCTTTCCTAATAAAATATTTCAAACATTGTGTGTGATGTTCCATTTAGGCAGCATTTGTGTATCAGAAGTCAGTTTAGGTTTTTTGAGATGTGCCCAGATAAGCGTTCACAGTTCAGGGGCAGGTCGCATTTTCAGAAGGATGTCGGAGGAGGTCCCTGAGAAGACCTGACTAGAGGACCTGACTGCTCCTTCACTCGCTAAACGGAACAGTGCAGTGGGCGGCTCCACGCCCCCTCCACTTTCCTTGGAAAGCTCATCGTTCTGTAGAGGGAGCCATTTCAAGAGCGTAGCCTTGGGAGAGAGTAAGGCGTCGTGGAGACCATCTGAACGCAGTTGAGGCCTCTTTATAAAGAAGATTGGCCTGTGCGTGTGTGCAGAGGTGATCTCCTGTTGCTCAGGAGCGCTCTCCTCGCCCACCACTGTGGCGTGGCCTGCTTCACTCTCCCCTGGCCTCCCTGTTCTGGGGCCAGTTTTTGAATCAACAGAGTGATGTCATGGGATGCCTGCGTGGCTCAGCGGTTTAGCGCCGCCTTCAGCCCAGGGCGTGATCCTGGGGTCCCCGGATCGAGTCCCACATCAGGCTCCCTACATGGAGCCTGCTTCTCCCTCTGCCTGTGTCTCTGCCTTTCATGAATAAATAAATAAAATCTTAAAAAAAAAACCGTGACGTATTTTAAAATAGGAAATTATACTAGAGTTGCAGTTAAAATTTATGTCCTTGTCAGAAAACGAAAATTTTCAAAACTGGAGTAGGCAGTATTTCTTGGTTATGAATCATCAAGTCAGAGATTGATGGATTTTTTTCGGAATGTTTTTACCTGTCTAAAAAGTTTCCTTTAAAAAGATTACAGTCCTCACCAATACCACAGCTAAAACAGTTCTATTATGTTACATAGCTTATCCATATCCAAGAAAAAAAAAAGCTGTTTCACTGAAATAGGCATTTCTTGTCTACTCCCTTGAAACTTTGAGACACAACTGACATCACAGGTAAGGAGAAGGTGTGCAGTTGTGATGATTCATATTTTGTGAAATGGTTACTACAGTGTGGTTACTTAACACATTCACGTCCCGGAACTTTGTGTGTGTGTGTATAGGGAGAGTATTTTTGTTTTCCTACATTTCAGTTTTTATAAATGAGAATTGCAGCTGGGATAATAGGAGTAACTTAGAATTTTAAGTAGTATGGAGCTAGTTAATTTAAATGAGCCACTGTACGTACAGAATCAGAGACAAAACTGCTTGTATTTTTCAGTTTTCAAGAAAAAAATTTAGAATGTGTTGAAATGTGTTTTTTTTTTTTACACTACCAGAAGGCGTTGTTGCATGTTGCTGAATGTGCAAGTAAAAAAATTACCATTTGCCAAATGTGCATGTTTATGTGTAAGGCACAACTAGAAAGGCTGGATATTAGCTTTACAGGGGTAGTTAGGTTTTTTAATGATTTCGTAAGACTTTTGGGGGGAGAGGTCACGTAGACCTTGTTAGCTCTGAAATGTGCTCGGTATCCTGGAATGATGATTGCTGATTTTTCTGACCAAAACCAGTTCTTGCAAATCTTAATTACTGGTTCTGAAATTCAGTATTTGGAAAAACAGCTAGAGAATGGTCTCTGGTTATTTACAACATTTCTTCACAAATGTTAGAAATTAATGATCAGCAGCCAATAGTGACAGGTTTTTATTGTCAACAGCATCTAATAATGACAGGTTTTTGTTGTTTTGACAAAAAGTACCGCCAACTACTTGAAAAAACATTTTTTAAATTTAAAGTGCCTCAAATTTGCTTGTATATAGAATTGGAATGCTGAGGATAAAGTTGCTCTTGGAGCTAAATGGAATTTCTATCCACTTTTGACCTTTCTAGGCAAAGGTGAGGTTTGTAATCCAGGTGAGGTTTGTAATCAAGTGTTAATTGTAAGACGTGAACTGGCCGTTTGGGCTAATTTCAAGAGATTTCTATAGGAAATGTATCCTACATTTTCCAATAGCTTCATCGTACTGCTATGTCTTAAGGTAATTAAAAATAACATTTGTTTTGGAATTCGTTATGATTTAAAATCCAGCATGCTTTTTTTTTTTTTTTTTTAGAAAACTTAGAGACAGTTAAGAAAGTGAAAATTCTCCATAATTTAACCACCCAGAGATAGCTGCTACTATTACTAATTTCATGGATAGACTGTACTATTATTTTTTTCAATCCTTGGGCATTTTTTTTCCACAAAAAAAATGTTATCTTCGTTTTCACAGAATGTAATGTAAATATATTGACATGTTTCCATGTCATGTGCCACTTCATCTACAGTTGTGATGTTGCATGATACTACGTTGTAAGGACGTCCTGTTTGATTTAACCTCTTCCCCGTTGTTGGGTGCTTACGTTGTTTCTGGGTTCTCACTGTGATGGGTAATGCTGCACTAAGTACCTTGTGGGGTCTTTACATAACTGATAATTCATATAAATTCTTAGGCCTGAGATTGTTGGGTCAAAGTGTGTGTAGACTTTTAAGACCTATTGCTGGATTCTGTTCTACAAAAATATATTTGTGGTACACGTACTGCTGAATGTCATGATGACGCTGGTGCTTTCAGATGCTGCAGTAACTTCCAGTAGAATTTAATTTTTTAGGAAACTAGCATTATCGTTAAGTTTTAAAAGTTGTGCCTAGGTAACAAGGTCACTTTAGCAACAAGCCACGAAGACTCCGCATAAACGCGTGGATGGCGTCACGGTCGCGGAAGGACTGGGCAAAGACAGGGAGGAGGCCAACTGAGTGCTAGTTCTGCTACCAGAAAGTTCTGTGACCTTGAGGACGATGGGCGGGGAGCAAATTCAGCCCCTCTGACCTAGCAGTTGTTTCCTTACATCCCTCCAGTTACTCAAGTTTTCTCTCCACCTCCCCAGACCCCCCTTTATTGCTGCTACTTACAGAGGCGAGTGGGCTGAGGGGCGAGCACTGGAGGCAGGGCAAGGCCCTGGAAGGTGGGGAGTTAACAGAACTTGAAGAGAAAACATGACCAGACCTGTTAGAAGTAAGCTGGGGAAAAAATAGGGTGTGCTAGGAACGATTATTATTATTAAAGCTTTTGTTTTAGAGAGAGAGAGAGCGCACTGTGACCAGGACCCCAGGATCACAACCAGAGGCAGACACTTAGCCCACTGAGCCGCACAGGTGCCCTGTTCCTACGCAGCAGCTGGCCTGGTGACAGTGAGCTGCGGACCCCGCGCGGGAAGATGGGTTTTGCCAGGGTTTAGTTTTTTCAAATGAACACACTTACTGAAGGCCTGCTGTGTCCGGCTCCGGGTGAGGGCGGTTCACACGCAAGGTAGGTGCGGCCTGGCCCCTTGCTGTGGAGCCTTGGGTCGGGTAGTAACGGGGGTCCTAACGGGGCCGTTGTCGCCTGCTCTGTGTCCCCACCCCACCCCGGGGTGCTAACCCTTTCCAGTGCCCTTCGTCGGACGGGAACAAAGAGCTGGGCCCTTGATGGGGCCTGGCCCTGCCAACTTGAGCGGAGGGAGAGGGGGAGGCAGCGGCCGAGTTGGTCGGTGGCCCGTTAGGGGGTTAGAGGCCTGCATCCCTGGCGCCGTCCCTGGCACCTCTCTGGTTCCTAAGGCCCTGGGCGTGCGGGGCCCTGGCGCCTTGTAGCCTCCAGCCTCTAAGTGAGCTTACTGGAGTCGGGCTCCAGGGCTTGCAGCCACAAATAGGAGCTGGTAGCCTGTCCCGCAACACAAAGGCTGAAATCAGTTACTCTCTTTTCAACTGTGACGAAAGCTTTACTGCCTGCGTTTTAAAGACTTTTCAGGAGTGAAACCAGTGGGATATTGAAGCATATCACGTCCCCTGAGAAGTAGAGGGTATTGGCTTTCAAGTAAGAGCATAGTCAATCCATCTCACTGCAGGTGGGTCCAGTGTTAAAACTGCTATAAGGGAAGCTCCACTTCAACGTTTGATCACTGAAATGTGTTGCTGAGCAAGATTTTAGGTTACTTTTAACTGAAACCTGGCTAAAATATCTGACAGGCTTCCATCGGTGATAATTTAAGAACAGCCATCCCAAAACCCAGAAGGCTGAACTGGGGATTTCTTAAAGACCTGTATGATCTGTTGGGGAGCTGCCTTCTCCTAGGAATGCAAAACACTGTCCATAATCTCTTTTGAAATGTTAACAAGTTTCATGTATTATGTGGATGTTATGTAAATGCTTGTGAGGCTCCTGTTTTTATTTTGGAGCGATTGGCATTTTAATTTTTACCCTGTCTTGATTTTGATGTGGTTTTTCTTCTAAGCCTCTCCATCCACCATGAGGGACATAGGCAAGAGAAGCAGAGGATCAAGTTCCTGGGCCAGAGCACTATCATAAGTAAAGGAGCAATGGAGTGGTTGAAGGAGTCATAAGTTACATCCATACTGGAATGGACTTAGTATTACTTACTGGACGCTGAGCTCAATTTGGATTCACAGGATCTGGGTTCTTGTTCAGATGGTGACAAACTAATCTTGAACTGGTCTTCTTTGTCTCAGTACAGGGTGGGACTTAACTAGTTCTCTACCCTGATTTCACATTAGAATTAGCTGAGGAGATTTAAAAAAAAAAAAAAAATACTTGAATCGGAATCTTTGTGGAGTGATGGGATATTTTTGTAAAGCTCCCCCATCACTGCTCTAGAACAATGGTCCTCAAAATTCAGCAGATACCAGAATCTCCTGGAGGGTTTCCTAAAACACAGATTGCTGGATAAATAACTAAATGACCGATTGCTGGGCTCCACCTCAGATTCTGCATTCCTAACACATTTCCCGCTGATGCTGATCATGCTTTGAAAACCCCTGACCGTGCCAAGTGGTCTCGATGTTCCTTCCTAGGTTGTAAAACAATAGGATTCTAAGATCAATTTCTGCTTTGGTAGTCTTCTCACTCTTGTATATTTTGGGTTAGGTCATTATCTCTCTCTCTCTCGCTCATTTTCAGGGTAGAATGAATTTGTCTTAAGAGCTTGATTACTGGGATCCCTGGGTGGTGCAGCTGT